GGATCAATGTTGAACAACCTAATATTGGGCATGTTGACATCAAAGAGGTAAGTGTGTTTCAGCCATGCATCACTGAAATACTTTTTTTAACTAATATACGTTTAGAATTTCTTGTTATCTCTGTCAATGCATGTCTGCTGTATATACAGCAAAGGATTTATCAGATGAGGGTGACATGTGATGAAATCTAAATACAAAGTCACATAAAGAGAGAATCACAAATTGCAAGAAAAACACTCATTTTGTAGGGTTGATTTTGTCTGGTATTTTTGATTTACGGGGATAATTCAACTCTTCCAGACATCAACTGTGTTCTGTGAAGCTAATATTAGAAATACAATCGATTGGCTTGATATCTTCATTGCATGACACTTTGCATGGATATTAACATTGTGTAATCTCATGTTACAAATCGTTTATATAAAACTCTCTTTGCTTGTTTTGTCAAACTGGTATTAGCATTTGTAGGTAGATAATACTGCAAATGATTCAACTATTTTTTATTAGCTCCGCTGTTGACTTTGTCGAATGGAGCTTATCATATGTGTACATTTTTTACAATTTCGATTTCTTCGTGAAAACTGCAATTTTCTTAGATATCTTCATTTCAAGATGATATCTTTAATTCTCTAATTTTGATGAATATTTTTGCTATTTTTTGGTAAAAAGTTATATTTGCAACTTCTTGTTGAAAACTGCAAGTCCGATTGCTTTGATATCATACATATAGGTACTACAGGTAGACCTCTCTCAGATTTCGTCATTTCAAGAGGATATCTTCAATTCTCTAATTTTGATGAATATTTTTGTCATTTTTAGTAAAAAGTCATATTTTTCACTCTTGTTAAAAACTGCACGTCTGATTGCTTCGATATTTCACATATAGGTACTACAGGTACACCTCTCTCAGATTTGTTCATTTTGTGATGATATTTTCTATTCTCTAATTTTGATAAATATTTTTGTCATTTTTGGTAGAAAGTGATATTTTCTTTTTCCCAAGTCCGATTGCTTTGATATTATACATATAGGTAGTAAAGGTAGAGCTCTCTCAGATTTGTTCAGATTCAGATTTGTTCATTTTCTAATGCTAGTTCGTTAATTGAAACTTACATTGCTAACAGCGTAGTTATCTCAGCCGAGAGGCTGCTTGTTGGATTAACCGTTCACACTTTATTTTTTATTGAAAGTTCATGACACACAACCACCAAACTCAACCACTCCCTTGATTGACCACACGAGTTAAAGTAATTATTTTGTTTTCTAGAATAACAGTTCCTGGTATAATATGACTAAAGAGGAAGTTCCTAGTGAGAAAGACCTACAGTTATGGTTGAATCACATTAGTGGTGTAAGTGACAGTGATGAAATTAATGATGGAAATGGTATTCCCGATTATATGGAGAAAGATACAGATGGGGATGGCATTCCTGATTATCTAGATGATGATATTGAATGGGGATGGAATACCAA